TTCGGTTAGTTAAACGAAACAAACACGGACAGTGATGCATTCGTTCGTGTTCGAATCGTTATTGTTCGAAATATAAAATAATTTAAAATAATTATATATAAAAAAATTATGATATTTTAAAAAAATAAATTTTATAAATTATAATATATAATAAATTAATAATAATAATATATTAATATACTATATTAGAAATATACTAATATAGATATTATATATTTATATAATATAACTTATATAATTAATATAATATATTATTACAAAGGACCAAGTTATTTAGCATTTTGTCTAAAACTTGGAATGATGATATTTGTCATAAATCCATATTTCAAACACACTTAATTTCAACGAACCAAACACGAAGCGAACACAAGCTATGTTCGTTCGTGTTCGATTTGTTTACACCCCTACCGCTAGCCGCATCTTCTAATTATAATTATGATTTCATTAGTTATCACATGGCTAGACCGTAAATAAAATTGGTTATGTAATGAAATTGAGCCAAGCTAATTTGAGATTGTTGAATGGTGATTTATTGGTGAAATATACCCAAGAAACAAAGAGTAAATAAGAAGAGATAAAGAAAAAAATGGGAGAGAATGAGTAGTGATAAGTTGAAAACAATCATACTATTCATAAAATCTTGTCACTATTCACAGAGGAGAGGGTGCATAATGACTATATTATATTTTTACCCTTGCCTCAAAGAAGCCATTACTATGATGTTTTTAGTATTTTACATATATGAGTTTATTATATGATTCGGCCAGCCAAACTTAGTTAGACTTTGGGTTGACACGAACAGCTTGGTGGGCTGAATTGTGTCGGTCGTCCAGATTTGGTCGATTTCCCAAGCTAGGTCATCAAGGTTGGGTCGGCGGTGGTCGTCCCAACCTTGAGATTCATGCTGATATAGTCTTATATATACAATACTCTACTAATTTAAAACTAAACCTTATCACTATACAATTGATAGTGAACAATAGCATACTGTAGGATTAGGCACTAATTTAAAATTTGATAAATTTAATGCGGCAATTAGGACAAAATGACCCTCTTAATCGCGAGTCAAAAAAATATGGCCGGACGTCTTTTTTGAGGGAGACGTTTTTAATAAAAGTTTACTAATGCGTCGAACCGAATATATGAAGTAGTTTCCAGACGTCACCAGATTTTAAGATCTGCTCGGCCGACGCAAATAAATTACATGCAAACCACTTAAATCTTATGTATTTACATATCTAACATCAAAATTTTATTTTTTATATTTATGTCGCCTTATCAATACATCCAAATGAGTATTTAAAGACGATATGAAAATTTTGAGTGGTATAAATGTAAAAAGTAAAGTTTAGATATTAGATATGTAAATGCAGAAGAATTAGATGGCATATACGTAAATGCACATCACAAAAAAACCGATTGGTTTATTATTTTAAAGCGATGCATTTTTGCAACGTAACATTAAATTTCTAATCATTCAACTAAGCTAACTAAAACTTTTATTAGAGAAATATTATACCCCTCGAAAAGAGTTATTATATTAAAATTTATCTAACTATCATCACTTGATTAACCTAAGAATAAAAATCCTACTAATATAAAGGTTCATGAGCTTTTATTTTCTCTTATTTTGGTTAAGACACGCAGGAAAATAGGCTGAAAAAATATGTTTTTAATGATAGATGTATTTAAAGACGATTTATATGGCTCGCAATGGCTAAAATTAGAGATTTGGATATCATTTGGCCCCCTAAAACATACTCCAAAATTTAAATTTATGATTTAAGTGCATGATGTAGGCTCACTTGGGCTCATATCAGATTATTTTTATGCCGTCTGATTTGCCTCATTGAGACATTTTATTTGATAATAAATTGGGTTGTAGGTATTCCTATTAAATATTTGGAGCCCGTGACTTGTCTATCTTACCTACTGCGTCTCACCTATCTCTCTCCCACCTATCTCTCTCCATCTACCTCTCTTTTGTTTTCTTTAAATAGTCTATTTTGGTCTGTCATAAGTGCTAAGCCAAGTCTTCTTGAGAGCTAAGAGAGAGAAAGAAAGAGAAAAAAAGAAATGAAGTTTTTTCTTATAAACGTCAAAACGCTTGACAGTGTAATTTCTCGAAGTAATAAAATCCTCTGCCGCTCCGTAAACATAGACAAATTAGCAGAACCACGTAAATCTGTGTTATTTTCTGGTTTGCAATTTTTCGATCCGATTTTTCACTTTATTGCCATCGTTTTTCATAACAATTCCAAAATTTAAATATTAAATTTTTTGTATTAAATGTGAGTCGAGATTTGCGTGGATCGATATAATTTTTTTAGGATTTATCACCAAATATCTTTTATTGACATGTATCACCCAATGATTATTTGTTGACCACCATTATATACGATGCCATTACTATCTTCCATTCCCTTATCATTGAGGTTACTCTGTGTCATTTCTCTGACAATACCTATTACAATCATAGAAGAAAATTCTAACATTTTCAAGCCTCACAATTCCATCTTCTTCGTTTATAGGAAATGAAAATAGCCTTATTTATATAGTATATAAGTTTAATTAGGCTAACCTTAGAGATTTTTTTCTCTTTTTAAAACTTTCATACTATATGCTGATTTTATATTTATTTATGCGTGTTTTAATCTTATGTAAAACTAATTCAAATTAAATACATACATGATTAAACATAAGTGTCTTCAGTTAATGTTGAATGTAAGATTAAGATGCATGCATGCAAATCCAAATTAAATAGATTCACATAACTATAATAAATAAAGAACAAATATAATCACAAATCAAAGCAAAACATAAGTGTCTTCAATAAGATCAATGAAAATGTAAAAAAAAATATCTAGATTACACGTAAAATTTATGAGAATATGTAATTAGTTATACTCAATAATGAAAATATTGTTATATACTAGAATATTCATAACAATAGACGAAGACTTAATCATTTCAATATTGCACAAATATCACACATTCATACAAGTTATTGGCCAACAATAACAAGAGAAACATGTTTTTCATCATGAAAAGTTGTGAAAAGAAACAAAATATTCGTGCTATCTAATTAAACTATTTCTAATATACTATTTAAAGGTTATAAACAAAAGTTTATCATTCTCCAAAACAAGAGAAAATGGGATCTTATGCAATGACTATAAAGTGAAACAAAGTATGTTGAAGTCCATGTAGAAGGTACAAAAATTGATGAAATTGGCACCACCATTCGATTGTGGGCAACAACACAGAAGCATGATTGACAAACATTGGAGTCGATTCACAGCGAACAATACACAATAAGCTGACTTGTTAGCTGATAATATATTATGATAGATGAGATAAATGAGAAAGGTAAAGAACATTCAATTTCTTTGTAAATGTTTATTTCTCTTTTGGGCTAACATTTCTTTTCTCTTAAATCAAATCATAACTTAATTTCAACCAAAATTTGAGGGGATTTGGATGAAAATAACCTATTTTATAAAAGTCAATTGACCAACATTTTCTAGACCATTATTATAGTCAATATCTAGGGTTACTGATTAAATCACCTACGTTACAATTTCCATTGAAGTCTAATATAAATTCAGAGAGCCAAAGACTAATGGGCCCCAACTTATTCGTGCTAAGTTTACAGGGTTTATATCGTAAATAAGGAAATAAAAAATCAACATTGGGATTGCACTCGTAATCCTTCAATTTGAAAACATTATAAGATTATTAAATAAAGTTATCTAAAAAATTCAATCTATTTGCTTAAAAAGGCAAGAAAAAAAAAAGGATAATTAATATTATTTTGTGAAATGAAATATAAAGTAATATTAAAATATTTCTTAATTTAAGAAGTGAAATATATATATAAAAAAAAAGACTAGAATATCCTAATTTAATTTTTTGGCATATTTAATCTTAAGGCCATTAAATCACTCATATGATGTGTTCATTTTTAAATAATTTTAATTCTTTTAAATTGATTAACTTTATGTCTAAAGTGTTTAGGTAAAAACTTTAAAAAAATACTAAATCTAAATGTTTTGGAAAGAATTTAGAATAAAATTTTAAGTAAATGTATATTTTAAAAATTAAAAGGGGCTTTTACTTAAATAGAACGCAATTCTTACGTATTTATATATCTCACACTTAAATTTTAATATTTGCATGCATAACTGTTGAATCCAAAAGTATTTGAAAAACACACTCAAGGAATAAAACATTCGTCCAAGAAGTGATTAGAGAGAGAGAAAGAGTACAATAGAGAGCAGTAAAAGAGGAATGTTGCTTCTATTCATGATATGAACCTCCTATTTTTAGATATATGTCCTACTATTACGAAAGTATATACTTATCTTCTCATCATTAACTTTTCAGAGAAATATTTTTGATAATTACAGACTTATTAACATATAATAAGATCTCGGAAACTTATTCAATCTGTATGAATTTGCCGACCGAAAGGTGAGCACTGACTCGATTGATAGCTAATCTGAATGAAAGCCTCATGTTGTTCGTCATGGGAGTTGATTCCCGCACTCTGAAAAGTCTCTTGGCACATTCTGCCGATTGCTCAAACAAGTCACATCCCTTGTTAATATCTAGCTCAAGACGACTATCAGTAGTTATGTCTAATTGTCATTATCATCCTCCTAAATAGTTCATATGTCTTGAGATTTGGATATGTACAATAACACTTTAGTGTTTTAAATGAAAAGATATATTTTATTTAAGAAAATGATAATAATATTAATTTTTATGAGATTTTAAAATTTAGGCGTGTAAAAATTATGGGATATATATAATTGTTGATATATATATATTTATTGCCTCATTTTTAAAATGTTAGGATATCAAATTTATAACATTTAAAAAATAAAATTTTATTTTAATTAATGCATATAAAAATCTTAAAGTATATTTATTTTCATTAAAAAATGCATTTACATGGATATCCAACATTCTTCACACTATAAAAAACTAAACCCCCACAGCCATCCCCAATTCGAAATCATCCGTAAACTCCACGGCTCCGCCGTTTCTCCGCCGTCCAACCCAATGCCCTCCGAATCATCGGCGATCGCCGCCGCCACCACCACCACCATAGACGACCTTCACTCCGACGTCCTCACAAGCACCCTCCGTCTCCTGGACGGACCCAGCCTCGCCGCCGCCTGCTGCGCCTCCTCCCGCCTCCGTTCCCTCTCCTCCCAATCCGACCTCTGGCTCCACCTCTGCCTCTCCACCTGGCCTTCACTGCGCCATCCCCGAATCCTCCCCTGCCTCTCAACCTCCCCGCACTCCTTCTTCTCCGACGCTTTCCCTTTCCCCAACTCCTTCGTCGCCGGCGAAGCACAGCTCCCCGATGAGCTCTTATCCGCCGTCGACATTTACCATCGCGGTATCCACATCTTCTCCCGCGTCATCGAGACCGATACTTCTTCTTCTTGGTTTCGTGGATCCCCCTTCTTGATCGACGCCATGGACCAGAAAACAGAGCCGATGATTCCGCGGATGATCATATCGCCGGAGGACTTGACGATGAGCTGGATCTTAATCGATCCAGCGAGGGGTCGGGCTGTGAACGTATCGAGCCGGCGAGCGGTGGCGATGGAGCGGAACTGTTACACAGGGGAGACCATGGTGCGGTTCGCATCGGTAGCGGCGGCGGGGGAAAGGGTGATCAGAGCGGCGGTCACATGCGGCGAAGTGACGGGGCAGGTGAGGGAGGTGGTGCTGACGGCGGAGGATATTGACGGGGGTTGCGTGAGCGGGGAGGAAGCGATGAAGCTTGTGTGGGCGATGATGGAGTCCGGGAGGAAGGGGAGGGGGAGATGGGAGGAAGATGAGGAGGCGAAGCAGAGGTATATGGAGTACTTGGGGAAGAAGAGGAGGAGGAAGGAAAGCAGGGCTCGGAGAGAAGGGGTTTTGGATTTGTGCTGCACGGCCGTGGGTGTGGCCGTCTTTCTTGGCTTTCTATCGTTGACGGTGTTCCGGTGATTTGAAGGAGAAGAGTTAGGGTTTTGTTTTTCTTCCTTTTTTTTTTTTTTTTTGAATTTTCAATCCTCGATATAAAAATTAGCTGAACTAGAGATGTAAATGGACTTTTTATTTAGGTGATAAATTTAAAAGGAAAATCAAAATGATTATAAGTTACGGTAATGTTTGCTTATTGCTTTTTGGAATATTTGCGCACAGGTAACTTAATTCTTTTGTATTTACATATCTATTAGTTAAATTTTTAATTTTCATATTAAGGATGCATTATTTATGCATAAAGAGTTGTTTTTTATTTTTATAATTTTAAAATTGTGACTTTTTTTTTTTATGTGATAGGAAATATTTTGAATTGCGTAAATGTGAGAAGTAAAATTTAGGTGTTAGATCTGTAAATATATGGGAATTCGAGGGGTTAAAAGTAAACTTTTATGTAAGTAATTCCAAGGAGCCTCACTGCTTTCATTTGGGATCATTTTTTAATTTTTTATATATAATATTTTTACTTTTATTTTATATACAGATTTGTTTGGTATATTTTCTTTGTATGTTTTTATTTTTTATTTTTAAATAAAATAATTTATTTAAAAAAAAAAATACTCAAAACATCTACAAGCAAAAGTGATCTCAAATGAATTGTATGCTTTATCTCAAAAATAGTATTTATTATATGTGACAAAGATTCATGGAGTCCAAATCATCAATTAATAGTTCCATACATTCAAGATTATTATTCATATGTTTATTCAAAACTGGTGATGTGATTATTTGTTCATGTGAGTCATCAATGGAGCCCTAATTTATCAAACATGAGATGAATATTTCTACGACTCAAGTGCAATAATTTGATGGTGCATGCAATATGAGAGTGAATTCAATGGCCTTCGAAAGCTTAATTTTGAAGGAAGTTTTTTCTGTAATGCATTGTGCTTTGTTTTGATGATCATTTAAAATTTGCACTTATGAGAGGTGAATTCATGATGGCCTCACTTTTGAATGCCTTCAATCATAAGTTGATAGTACAAGTTTTGTAAACTTAAAAAAAGAAAAGATCTACCGGCTTTCCCCTCCAGTCCTATGCATTAATTTATATATATGACACATAACACTGCGCCGAAAACCTCGATTAGGGTTAGATATTTCGGAAGCTAATCAGGTTGTTTTCTGATGCTAATTCATATTAGAGTAGTTTTTTTTTTTTTTTTTGACGTTGATAATTTATTGTGTGTTGACATTAGTGTCAAAATTTTTTTTATTTGCGTCCGCATTAGCATCCAAAATAGTCGCTTAAAAAAACCAACGAACAGGCAAGCGACGCTAACGTAACGATGCAATAGCGTCAAACAGGGTTGACACTGATTAGCGTTGAACAGAGCCGACTCTAATCAACGTCAACCCTGTTTGTCATGATTGTGTCGTTTTAGCAACAACTTGAATCGTTGGCTGAATAGAGGTTTTAGCGTCGGAATTTTTTTTCGTGAATCTGACACTAACATATAAGAAACAAAAAAATATATAACAAAATAACTAGATTTCGACATACCTTCATATAATAAAGACAATCAACATAAAATAATATTTATCTATTAACACAACTCGTAAAAGAAATCTCTAACTTACATATAATGATACCAAATCATGTTAAATATAAATTGATCAAAATTCACAACACAAGAAACTTAAAGTTCGTACAATACAAAAAAGAAAAAAAACATAAAGTCGGCCCCCATTTCAAGGGAGCATCATCAAACAAAGATAAAAACCTAATCTTCATCCTCATAATCATCCTGCTCCTCCTCCCCCTCGATCGAATGCATGCATCACTTTCTCTGGCGATAAAAACTCTTCATCATGCGTGTAGGCTGTCTGCAATGAGCTACTGGCCTTCACGCACCTATCGGAGCTCTTCATTCATTGTAGATGTTGAGCCTGTAATGAGCTAGGACACCCACAATTGTTCGACAGTGATCGGTCTCAAACGCCATCCCTTTTGCTCTGAAGCCGCACACTCTCCGCTTTTTCTTCCCCACCGCCTGCGTCTACAACTCATAATTGAACTGGCGGTGGTAGAATGACTACCACCACTGACGGACAGTGAGATATTGTTGGTCATCTCCCTCTGTCTCTCTCGGAGTTGCTTGTATTCCTCATGCATTGGAAAATTCAAATATTATTTGGCATTTTAATCATTAATTGACATATTAATATAATTAAAATTTTAAACTTATTTTAACGCGACGAGAGTGACTGGATACACATTGTTGGGTGCTCACGCGCCGATGTATAAGGGCGTACAACTCTGCGGTGGATGGCTATTTATCAAGCTCCTTAGCCTATATACATGATCAAATAAATATATGAGTCACATGATTACATAAATCTATATACTTTTGAATTTTTACATAATCTTTTCAGCCTCTGATGGTGTTCCGTGTGGGAGATCAAACCTCCAATGAGGAATGCGGCCCCTCTACCTCCCTCCACTGACAGGTTTTGTTGGTTCCTTCTTCTAGTACTCCAGGTAGGCCCATGCTCGATTTAACTCAGCCCAAAATTCCTCACTGCCCCACAAGGACCTCTGCCCCTTCTTACGCGTTGTCGTGAACATATGCCCGAGCTTATGCCTGATATGAACCTCAAAAATATGTCGGATCTGCTGGTGATATTCCGGCAACCAATAAAATGACCTATGCAAATGAGAAAATATGTAATATTGATTAGCATATAAAAATGGTATAAATTAACTTTCTAGTTCAAATTTAAATATCATACATCGAACTCCCTAAAATATATATATCCCGAGTGGAAATCATGACAAGCTTCTATGAGAGATATGGCTGATTATATCTGCTCCGAATGATCTCCGTGACCCTTTTCACGAGCAGCTTGGAGGGGTAGAATCTGCAATAATTCATTTGACACATTATAAAATTGAATGAAAAATTGAAATAACTATACTTTAAATAGAAATTTGACTTAAGAATCACCCTCTTGTTCAATATAGACTTTGTCGATGGTGTGAGTCATCTCACGTGCTGGAGTCGAGGGGGCATGGCTCATCAGATAAGGATGATGGGCAGAATTAAGGTGGAGTGCGAGGTAGTGTCCGGGGGTTGGAAGAGACCTGATGTGAGAGGAGGGGTAACAAAAGGAGTCACTGGAGTGGCTGAAAGGGTTTCGTACCTGTTAGTGGAAATGACAGCCTTCTTCAGCCTCTGATACGTGTTCCTCAAAGTCCCCTAAATGTGGAGTATCTCTGTAGGCTGATAACATGTGCTCTGCAACAGAAAAAAAAAATAGAATTAATAAGCAGGACTAGTATGTAATATAAGATAGAAAAGTAAAAGTAGAAAAGTGAAACATGTCTCGTTTACCCATAAAATCAAGAAAATTTAGTAGGACAACTATAGTGTAAGAAGTGAAAATAAAGACAATATCTGGATAACTGTAGTCGAAGTGTTTTTAAGCTTCACCGGCTGAAGGTTGAGTCATTGTACTAGCATTAACATATCCAGTATTATGTCATATCAAGTGGGAAGTTGTGCACATAAAAGCAAACAGTTGTTAGAGCTGTGGGATGAGAGAAAATTAAAAGAGCTATTTGTAAGATATATTCTTCCTATTTTTACTCTTTATTTCCCTTGGTTTGAACCTATCAACACTACGGAATCTTCATTTTGTCTCTCATGCATTCTTCTTGTAATATAACATACAACCGTTTATGCATCAATCTATCTTCTCAGATAGCATCCCCAACTTCGCCACTAACATTTTGTTAATTGATTGAATCATTCATTGGGTATGTTAAAATTAGATTTGATACCACACATTCTTAGGATGATTGTTAATTCTGTGTGTGAAGTGCATCCTTCCCATAATGATTGCTAGTCAGCATTTAATAGATTATAGAATTGTTGTGTTTCACAGTTCTGTTCGTGATTATCATCAAACGCACTCCCAACAAAATGAGTCATGGTCACATTATCAATTATTTGCTCATACATGCAAGAATCATGTACAGTTGAGGGGCATAATTTGATCATGCTCCCTCCATTGTATTGAACATCTGGTTTAAATTCACCATGTGAAGTCTTATACCAATAACCGGGTTTAAATCGCCTACGATATATGTCCAACTTCACTTCGTCGGGTATTAGGGGCATCAAAACCTACATTCTGAGAGGTAAATTGACAATTGCGATGTCGTATTCATGAACTCCTCAACACTAGCGATAAACTCACCAGTTATTTTTCTCTTCATAGATATAATCTGTTATACATCCACAATCTAATGCTTTGAATATTCATTTGAACCATAAATGTAACTCTATAGATTAATGCACTTACACATTACACACCCTACTTTAAATCTTAGGCCACCTACACATCATAGTCGAAACCCACAACCCACAAACCTAGAGAAAATCAACACTAGCCTAAACTCCACCCTAAAGTTACATATCACAATTTTCCTATGCATTTATATGTCTCACACCTAAATTTCATATTTACATACATCACATAAATTTCTTTTGTATTTACACATAACTCACACCTAAATTTTCATATTTACATACATAGTACAAATTTCTTATGTATTGACATGTCTCACTCTTAAATTTTCATATTTACATCCAGGGCACAAAATGTCTTTTTTGTTTACATATCTAAATTTCATTTTTACATAAATTTCTTATGTGTTTTCATATCTCACACTGAAATTTCATATTTACACTAATAGCACAAATTTCTTATTGATTTACAAATCTGACATCTAAATTTTCATTTTTACAAAGATAGAACAAATTTCTCATGCATTCACTATCTCACACCAAAATTTCATTGCATACCACAATTTTCTTATGCATTTACATATCTCACACAAAAATTCTATTACCTAACATAAATTTCTTATGCATTTACATAGCTCACACCTAAACATAGAGAAATCCAAAAATTCATATGCATTTCATACCTTAAAAATGGAATGCAAAAAAATAAAAATGCAGAAACTATATATTTTTCGGATATAACACCTATGTAAGAAAAAAAAGATGAAAACTTATGCTAAACCAAAGCTTAGAGGTGTGTAGGAAGATTTCTGACATTGGATGGGGTTGGAATGGTGAAATGCAGCTGGATTCGCCAGAGAAGCTTAGGTGATGACACAGGCGACAAACGAAGCCGAAGGAGAAAGAACACTCGAAGTAGAGATGCGATATGTGGGAGCCATATTTTAAGGCTCTAGTGTCGGGTTTAGTGTGGCTATGGCTAGACGCTAATAAGTGAGTTCAGCTTCGGGCATAACAGACGCTAATCGGACGCTTCAACACAACTCGCTAGCATTGTTTTTTTATGATTTTGGGACCACAGGACGCCGCTAGCAGAGGGTAATCGGCCGCTGATTTTACGTTGAAAATATTTATTAGGCTAGTTCAGACTCTAATTAACTGTTTTTGTGGTTTGTAAATTTAATTTTACATATACATACCTTCTTACTTATACATAAAAAAATATACATTTTACTTTTTAACAGTTAAAATTGTGATATTTTTTATGTGAAATGATAACTTTGGATGATATAAATGAAAAAAAAATAAAGATAATTAGAACTTGTTGGTTTGTACACAAATGTCCCCCAAAGAAAGCCAAAATTCTAGACCATCAATAAAATTATCCGTTAAATTTTGATTAGTTTGTGAATCACACCCAAAGGAGTAAAGCGGAAATCATGAGAGAGAGAGAGACAGAGAGGTGCGAAAAGTAATTAATAGTACACATCTTATCAATTGTGTCAATCTTGTTGACCTCCTTTATTTATAGGGGAGATAATGCAATATGGTGATGTTTCATTTTTTATTATTCTTGGTATATTACATATTTGAGTAGATCCCTCTCCTAAGCTTGATTGACTTCGAGTTGAAAGGACCGGTTTGGTCTACTAGGGCTTGGTTGGCATCGCCAATCGCTGATCTTGTCAGGCTGTAGACCCTCAACTTCTGCCAGCAGTGCGTTGCTAGACTATCGAACAAAGGGTGAATCATTTTAACCTAATAGGTAGCACACATCTCAATGAGAAAACGTTGAGGGATTAGTATACTAAAACTCTTTGCTACATTGTTAATTCTTGATCCTTGATCCGGGGCCTCATGGGTGTTCGTGTAATGGCTAGTGATATATTGAAATTGGATCTTTCCTTGAATCGAATCTACTTGAAGGCAAGCTACTCGATTGGGTTGAGTTTCTTGTAGTGGTTGACTTAAATATCTATTTGTCTTGTTTCTACCCGAATGATTAGTGCTCAATTCACTTGGTTGTCCTTTGTCGGCGTGGATTAGTTTTTGGCTCCAACTCGGATGACAATATCTAGTTGGCTTTGACTTAGAACATTAAATCTGGTTAATTTTGGCTCAAATGGCTGCATCCAACCTAATAAGTCGACCTCACTGTTCATGGAGCTCTCCTCATCGCACTCCTCTCTTTTGGACTAACTAGAATTAGAACAATACTGACATACTTTAAAAGTTTATTATCATTATATATTATTATTAGACTAACATTATAATTCGAAGTGGTCAGGCTTTTATTTATTTATTTACTTGTAAAATTTTGATTTATTTAGCTGCCTGCACAGAAGACGTGGCGGTTTCCTAGTCTGAAACTTTAACGTGCATTTGCTCGGTCGGACTGTACGATCTTCAGCAATGAATGAAAATTAAGTCAACCCCGATCTCCACGCACCATAAATACGTTGTCCCGACATGGGCAACCAATGTCATGTCACATCGCCTTCAAATCTTTTGTACTAAAAATTTCAGACATTTTTTTATTAAAATATTCAATACATACATACATACATTCATTATGAAAATATTAAATTAATAATATTTTTTATGTTATATGAAAATTTTAGATAATAAAATATTTTAAAAGAAATTTGATGTTAAAGAATAATATATATGAAAGTCATCCAGAGTATTAACGTTAATACCTATAGTTAAAGAGGTAAATGAATAAAAATAAAATAACAAGGAAAATATTAAGACCAATATATGAACTTAAAAAGAGTTTGTGAAAAAATATGTGTCCGTACCCTTATTTGTTGGTTAAACCGTCTCTCTTAAGGTCGCAAGTCCCTTCAAGTCACCCCCTCATGTGTAGTGTGTGATACTCGAATATTTAGTACCTAAGGATGATCGGAGCTCGTCTACTTTCCTTTTAAAAATCTCTCTCTCTCTCTCTCTCTCTCTCTCTCTCTATATATATATATAATGTGTGTGTTTGGCAGAATAGTATGACCAAATAATCATAATGAACAGAAGAAGAAACTCTGATAATAACCTTAAGTTCACTATTCATAATCATAATGAAATTCACAATTACACAAGCAAAATTAGAATAGCTTGGAGCTGACCTCCATGAAAGGCCCTGCGCTCCTTCCTCCTTGCTCCTTTTCTACAAGTCCTACAAAAATTATGCACTCTCAACTAAAAAAAAAATCTGTTTCAGAGGGGTAAGAACACGAAGAACACACCAAATAGAAAAGAAACAGCTTACATAACACAAAATAATTTTATACATTGTGGCTAGAGATTAGTAATCCCATGTTGATTGTCCTCCCATACCAATTTCATGTTTTAAGGAAAAGAACTTTAAAGCAGATAGTCCTGACTCCATGCTTTTAGATCTCTTTGCCTTCTTACTCTGCGGATCGAGTTTCGCATCACGAAGTGTTTCTCTGCCTCTCTCATTTTCTATGTCCTCAATAGCCTTCCCTGAAAATATAAGATCCACAAATGGTGAATCTTCATCATCAATGCCCTTAGACTTGGCAGCTACTTTAACTACAGAGCCCTTCTTCTTCTCTGGTTTCTTCTCAATTTTGTTATCACTATTTTCTTCCACAGAAGCACTATTTCTCTTCTGATCATCAGTTTTCTTCTCGAGATACTGTGTGTTTGACTTTGATTTCTTCTTCGTTCCTTTTAAAACTGATACATTACCAGTAAGGGTATCGTTAGCGTGGGTTTCTTCAGCAGATGCATTGAGCCTCTTCCTTTTTAATGCATCATCCTTTTTGGATTCTCTCTTCTTCATCTCTTCTTCATCTCTAACACCAAAAGAAATTTGAAGAGAATCAGTTTTTGTCGGACGCAATGTGCCTTTTTCAGAAACCTTCAAAGCCATGTTACTGCTCCCTGAGGGTTTGGCATTGAATATGCGTATATTGGGGACTAATGTTTTAACCTATCACACCATAGAGTTATACAAGCATAAGCTTCACTTTCACGATAAAAGGGAAACGAAAATTTATGATATAAGGAAATTTATGAGAAGCTACCTTTTTTACTAACTTATCATTCTCTACAATAGGATTCCCCAGTAAATTGAGGTTTTTAAGGTTGTGCAAAGCAGAAAGAACCTGCAATTTCCACATTTTATCAGTATAAATAGAGACCTCCCAATTCCTATAACTAAATCATACATACGCAAGTCATAAATAGCAAACAATTTAATTTGAAAGAGAAGAAAAAATGCAGCGAAAGAGCAAAATTAAAAGCTTTTGCATGTTGGTTACCTTTATTTCAGAAAATTTCTCAATCAGATTGTTTCCAACATCCAAAGTTTGAAGATTTATATTTTTAGCCAGCTCTTCTGGGAGAGCCTGGAAGAAAAAAAAGAAGCAAAACAACATCGTATACATTATATCGGGGCCATTAATATATCAAATTTAATGAAGTATTTTCCCAGGAAAATGATAACCTCATAAAAGCATGTAGCACAGAAACACACGTTACTTAAAATGTATGAACAACCGGATAGTTTGGAAAGTGTAACTGAATACAATTTTTCAAAGGGTATGCTCTGGTAAAATATACAGCTTGAAGAATAACCAATTTATAGCAGGACAGAGATTGATTTTAGCATACAGGGAGAAACCGTATTTTATTGAGCATTCAACAGTCCTTTCAAGGCTTAAAGGCAACAATTATATGTCAAAAATTGTCGCAGAAATTTTATCAGTATTCATGTAGGTTTGTTAGAACCTACTTTGTTAACTGTTGATCAATTATCGTTTCTCCGGTAAAAAAACTTGTCAAAGACTTCCAGGAGTTTGTTTCCTATAGGGGCTCTAGAGAACAAATGAATCATACAGCAAAATCACCAGATAGCTTCTCTTTCTCGCTAGGCTTCCAGGAGTTTGTTTCGTAAGCTTCCACCAACTGTACTACTTTGCCACAACCAAGTATGTCGGTATCCAGGTTTGTAATAATGAAGTTTGACTTGACCGCCGATTCATTTGAGATTATTATGGCCTTCAGATTATCGGGATTTTTACATCAGCATCACATTCTTACCTTCCATCACCCCTCCTCACCCGCAACTGCTATCTACACCTTAGAGACTTCACCATGGAGAACTCTTTCTCCATCAATCAAAACGAAGGAGAGATATAAGAGTAAATCCGGTCAAAAAAATCCAAAAGAGGTGGCAAGACCAAAGTAGACAAAGAAGTAACTAACCAGTGCTAGAAAAGGCTTCATTTTGCCAAAAAGAAAAAGGAAAAATAACAAAATTAACCCCATAGAGAAATCTAAGAAGCCTATCAATTCATCTATCATACTAGGTTCGCATGATGAGAACCACAGCCATGACAAATGATGGGTTTACGATATTTTAATATTAATATAAAGAACAAGAACCATTCCTACAACTTCAGAATCTATCAGAGTCGGGCACTATTTCTGACAAACTAGCATTTCACTCTATTTTATGCCTGTAAAGAAGCCAAAGTTATCTTTTGCATGACGAATTGACATACAAAAATAATGAATCTGAATCAAAATTTGACGCGATTGAACACTTTCTTTAATGTGAAAACCAATACAATGCCTAGCAGGAGAAATTTCAAGCACCTCATCTTAAAAAGAAAGCAGTTTTATTCTAGCAGGGAAAGGCGGATAACGTTCCTTCCCTCGATCATCCAATCAATGCAGACTGCGACAATCAATTGTGTACCAAAAACCTCCTGTATTATCGTTTCGAACCAAACTTGTGAAGGATCCTCAAAATCAAACAAATAAAGATAGAGGCATACATTGCAACCCTATAAAACTAAAAATAAAACCTCTACTAAAACCCGTTTTCCTTAATTATTTCATCTTTAGCTATAAGAGAAAATCTATATATTTTTCCCCAGAAGACAGAGGGTCAGCTGCAATATTCTCTTCACAATGTCTTAGACAGCGAGCGAAGTTCTCTTTCCATTGTCAGAATTTTTCTTAGATACTTTAAAATAACAAACTGAATTCTCCAGTTCAGATTATCTTCTAGATATTATAGATAACTATACCTTGATGTGAGATACAGTAAATGGCAGACCAATAAACCAAAGAGATAAAAAAGGGAGTAACCAGCACAAGACTTTGCCTTGCCAAGAAGAGAAAAAACTAGCCGGCAAGGCTTCTTTTGTCCATCCATCTAAGAGGACTTGAAGTTCATAAGTCTTACAAACTTTCCCAGACAAAAATAATAGCCTTGGCTAAATGTTTTACAAAACCTGAAAATTTAAACGAAAAAACATACGATTTCTTGAAGTTTTTAAGTTAAATAAAATAATATTTCTACTATTAGGTAAGTTATAATTGTTCTTAAAAGTCCTAAGTCTAAATAAGAAGTTAGAGGGTTGATATTTAGCCGAAAACCAATTGTAAAAAACTTTATGCCGAAAGAGTATAATAAATCTAAATTAAAATATTGTTAGGACTGAGGCGTTCCCCAAAAGTCATGTCATGACCTAACTCAATTGTATTTGAAGCCTCAAAAATGTTGTGGCACAATTTAACTTTATTATGGTGAAAAGTATGAAAGTAATGGTTAAAATGCTAACAATCAGCAGTTCTTTGAATCTTAACTAAATTCCAGTAAAAATTGAGAGAAGGTTAATAAGAGTTAAAACTAAATTTAGATTTCCTACATCAAATTTAGGGACCTGAATAGAGAAATAAGTGAATTGATGCACACAATAATTAGAAAAATAAACATTGCTTACTGGAAAAGAACGCTAAAAAAACTAAAAAAAATTCAAAGGAATTGAAAAAAGTTATAAGTTATATTTTTTTAGAAAGTCGACAATAAAAAATAGAAAGTTAAAAGATTAAAAAAATAAAGTAAATAGGTTTTGTGATAGAGTAATTGCTATAGGTTAACTACTGTCTACGCATGAAGACATTGTAAATATGAATATCGTTTATGCTTCTTAAATTAGATTAAAAAATAATTAAAATATCATTTTTTTAAGAGATGTAAAGGACATAACAATATATACATAAAAAAGGATAAATATAAAGGATCACTTGAATGAACATATAGGTTCTAGCAAAATGAGCTATGGAAGAATTGGTGGAAATAGAATAAGAGAGAGAAATACGGTGAAAGAAGTCACACTTGATTTCACATGAACATAATCTTATAATTGTGAATGTATACAAAAAAATGAAATGAGCACTTAATCGCTTCCAAAAGTGGAACAATCAAGGGTTCATCTACGGTAGATTCTTTGTTGTTTTGGTTTTGAAACCACTACTGTATTTTGTTTGGCTACAACTTTATTCCAACCTTTTAGAAATTTTTGTGTTGAGAGGCAAGAGAGGCAAGAGAGGCAACTTTTCGCAACATGATATGATAGTTTGATAGTTATAAGAATGATGCCCAACTTACTCGAAGAAAAATAATAATAATACCCACAATAGGGTTGTCACTTTGGCTCGTTGTTCGCGAATAACTCGTGTTTGGCTCGTTAAACACGAGCTCGAATTGGCTCAAAAAGAAATAAATAAATAAATATACACACACATATAATACATATTCATAAAATGAAATATTATAAATTGTAATTAATTAAAATTTTAAAATATAAAATTTATCAAATTTTAAAAAATTAAATCCTATAAACTATAATATATAACAAATTATTAATAAATATTATTTATATAATATCAATTATATAATTAATATAACATAATATATAAGTATAAAACTAAAAAAACCCTAACTCCTAAGCCCCAACCTCCCTCTCGAATGTTCTCGGGTTCGGCTGCCTCTCCCTTTTCTGGGTCTTCTTTTCTGAGTTTTCTCCTTCCTCTCAAAATCGCAAAAGGCATTCAGCCGTGAGAGCTTAGGGTTTGTCGTTTGTGTTCGCTGCTCACAAAAGCTCTGTTTCGGCTCAGTTCTTCTTCCGAGTCATCTCCTTCTCCTCTCAAATTCGCGAAAGGGTTTCGGCGGCAAGAGCTTAGGGTTTGTTATTTGTCTTCCTCTTCCTCTTCCTCTTCTGAGAGCTTAGGGTTCTCTTCCTCTTCAGAGTCATCTCCTCAAATTTCGAGCCGAACTCCAGCCGGAAAATATTATTCGAGTTGAACACAAACACACCGTTAACTAGCCATTTTGAACACGAGCCAATATCGAACAAGACGAACACGAGCTGACCCTGAGCTCGCTCAGGCTCGGCTCGTTTACAACCCTAACCCACAACAACTTTCAAAAAAAATATTATTTACAACAACAATCCTATGTTTATTTTTACAAACAATAGCAACAACCCTAAATAGACCATTAAACACAAATAAAATTATAATGACAAAAAAAATCATGTTGCAAAGGTTATGTTGCAAAGACGTTACCACGCAAAATAGAGTATTAATTATAAATGTATACTGATATAGCAAAAAAATTAAACACTATGATAAAAGATGATGGAACCTGAAAGATATAAAATTGTTAATCTTTCAAGATAGATTGTCAAGAGATGTAGCAACTTCCAATAAAATAATTGGATAGAAAATTTAAGAGAACCTAAAAATAGATCGCACGGTAGGAAAATGACAAAGTGATTGAGCAGGAGAAATAAATTATTATTAGAGAAAAAGAAATATGGTATAAAATAAGATAAAATATAATCTTATTGAATATTAGAATGATGACAAGAAAGCTAGAAGTCTTAAAAAGAAAATAATGAGCAATGCAAAAGCTATAGATTTTCATGATTCATATAAAGATAATGTGTTACAAAGAGATAAGATACATAACATAGCTACACGAAGAGCTTAAAAAATTAGCTCAAAGCAATACAAGAGAATATGATAAGATCTCAACTGAAAATGAAGATATCACTAAAAGAAGAGAAAAACTATTCTGATATATTATTAAATAGGAACTTAAAAAAATAATAAAAAAATAAAACACATAAAAATAAAAAATGCATTATAGATTGATCCAAATAAAAATAAAATAGAACTAACTCTGAAAGAGATGCACAAAAGTTTTTCAATCGAATATTTTCAACATAATTTTTGAAGGAGTAAGAATAGCATAAAAAATTAGAAAAGAATTTCAATATCAATAATTAAAAAATAAAACAAATTCAATATTATATTATAGAAGAATTAACTTAAACAATAAAGATTAAAAACTGTAATGCAATATAAAATTCAAAAATCTATGTCGAAATCAAAGTAATAAGTTGGTTTTATGCCAGTTTGAAAGCAATTTTCAAAATAGCTCATGATTGAGCACTAAAAGAATTGATCTAATGTATGTTAAGAAAAGAAAGTGTCAAAATGGATAACTTACAAATATGCTTCCAGAGGATATTCAAGGCAAGATGCT